AGAAAAAAAAGAAAGCTATAACCTTACAGTAGGTCGTATCGGGGGGTGGGTGTCAAGATTTCGAAGGGCACTGGATATCAAGCTGAGTTTAAAGTTTTTCATATACACTAAAGATGTGCACACAGTCAAATGCCTTAGCACAGTCAATGAAACACAGACAGACATTCTTCTGGTCCTCTCTGCTTTCAGCCAAGATCCATCTAACATTAGCTACAATATCCTTAGTACCATGACATCTTCTAAACCCTGCTGCACTTCTGGCAATTCACTGTTGATGTGTTATTATTCCAGTCATTTTTGGATCATTTTCAGCAGAATCTTGCTTGCATGTGATATTAATAATATTGTTCAATAATTTCCACACTGTGTCAGGTCACCCTTCTTTGGAATGGGAACAAATATAAATAAATCTCTTCCAGTCAATTGACCGGGTAGTTGTCCTCCAGATTTCTTGGCAAAACTTGGTGAGCATATCCAAGGCACTGTCTGTTTGTTGAAATATGTCAACTGGTATGTCATCAACTCTTGGGGCCATGTTTTTTGCCAGTTCTTTCTGAGTAGCTTGAACTTCTTTCTTCATTACCACAGGCTCTTCTGTGTCTGCCAATTCCTGTTGGTACAATGACTCTGTATATTCTTTCCATATTCTTTTAATGCTTCCCGAATCATTGAATATTCTGTCCAAAGCATCCTTTAGTATAGCAACTTGAGGCTTAAATTTGTTCTTCAGTTCCTTCGGCTTATGAAGTACTGAGTGAGTTTGGCCCCTTTGATTTTCTGACTCCAGCTCTTTGCACATTTCATTATTAATACGCAGATGACACAACCCTGTTTGCTGACATTGAGAAGGACCTGAAGCACTTGCTGCAGAAGATCAAGGACTGCAGCCTTCAATATGGATTGAAGTTCAACATCAAGAAAACAATTATTCTCACCAGTGGGCTGATTGACAGCATCATGATAGACAATGAAGAGATAAAGATTGTTAACAACTTCAGTTTGCTTGGCTCCACAAGCAGTCTTGGTACCAGCAGCCAGGAAATAAAAAGACATATTGCATTGGGAAAATCGGCTGTCACAGACCTCTCCAAACTACTGAAGAGCAATGATGTCTGTCTGGAGACTAAGGTGCGCCTGATACAGGCTATGATCTTTGCGATTATTTACTATGCATCAGAGGGCTGGACAATGACTAGGGATGATAGAAAGAGAATTGATGCCTTTGAGCTGTGGTGCTGGAGAAGAGTGTTGAATATCATGGACTGCTAGAAGAAAAAACAAGTTTGACCTAGAGAGGGTAAGATCAGGCTGCTCCTTGGAGGCAAAGATTCTGAAGCTTCATTTGACATACTTTGGACATGTTGCAAGGAAGGATCAGTACTTGGAGACGGACGTCATGCTTGGAAGAGTGGAGGGACAGCGCAGGAGAGGAAGACCCTGGATGAGATGGATTGATTCAGTGACTGGGGTAATGGGAGTAGATGTGTCAGAAACAGTAAGATTGGCACAGGGTAGAGCAGGTTTTAGGGCCGTTGTACACAGGGTGACTATGAGCTGCAGGTGACTCCACAGCCCATAACAACAACAACATTTTAAAAATATGTTTTAACATATTGTTCCATTTCTATTATACCAAAAAAGAAACTTACTTCAAGTTTTCTTGTTGATACTTGTACATCTTTAGAGACACATGTGTATGCATAGTGACCCTATGGATAACAGATCAGAATGCTATCCTGTCCTGTGTTATCCTCATTATTTCAGACTTATTTGAACCCACTGTTACAGTCACTGTGTCGGTCCATCTTCCTCAGGGTCTTCTTCTCTTTCACTGGCCCTCTACCTTTCCAAAGAAGAACCTCTTTTTCAGCCAGTAAGAATAGCATGTGAGATACTAAATTCAAGAGTCTTGCCAATCGAAACCTAGGATATAGGTGAGAAGTAAGCATGTTGCCATTTCAGAGACGTTTGAGGGAAAATTCCAGAGAACCCCTTATAAGACTTAGCATTTTTGCTAACAGTGAAATGTTAGCTTGAGGGTGATAAAAGGTCATACTCTGAAATGTCAGGATACTACCTGAAGAGATCATTACACTAGGGACATTATCACCAATTTCAGATGGGTCTTGGCTGAAAGCAGAGAGTAGAAGAATGTCTGTCTGTGCTTCATTGATTATGCAAAGGCATTTAACTGTGTGGATCCCAATAAACTGTGGCTAACCTTGAGAAGGATGGGGATCCCAGAACACTTGATTGTGCTCATACAAAACCTAAACTTGGACCAGGAAACATTTATTACAACAGAGCAAGGAAACATTGCATGGTTCAAAATTAGGAAAGGTATATGTCAAGGATGTGTCCTGTCTCCATACCTTTTAAATCTATATGTGGAACAGATCATTCAGGAGGCTGCACTTTATGAAGAGAAATGTGGCATCAGGATTGGAGGAAAACTCATCAACAACCTACCATGCAACCTTTCTTGCTGAAACTGAGGACCCGAGGCATTTGCTGCAGAAGGTCAAAGACTTCATGCAGTCTTCAATATAGACCGAAGCTCAACATCAAGAAAATAAAGATTCTTGCCACTGGGCCCACTGGTAGCATCAAGATAGATGGAGAAAATATTGAGATTGTCAATAATTTTAGCTTGCTTGGTTCCATAATCGATACTCTTGGCAAGAGCAGCCAGGAAATCAAAAGATGGGAAATAAAAAATTACATACACATGGCCAGGAGGAACCACATCCTTAGAGAAAGGCATTATGCTTGGAAGGGTGGAGGCACAGCACAGGAATTGAAGACCCTGGATGATATGAACTGATTCAATAACTGGGGTCATGGGGATAGGGGTGTTGGAGACAATGAGATTGGCTACAGACAGCTCAAAATTCAGAGCTATTGTTACATAGTGTGGCAAGCAACTTGATAGCACAGAGCAATAGCAACAACAACTAGATTTTCTCATGACACTTATTTTTCCCCTCTTTGTGTTGTTTTGTTTTCTTAAATTTTATTTTATACTGGTTTATTTACAAAGTTCGCATACAGTATTTTTAAAGTTACCCTTATTTTTAGAATGAGCATTGCCCCAGCAATGCCAGCACCTGAAGACACAGGTGTTTGTTGTCGCTGAGTGCCATCAAGTTGACGATGACTGACAGGGACCCTATGAACAAAAGATGTGCCTTGCCCTGTTCTGTGCAGTCCTCATCATCTCCAATATGTCTGAATGTACTGTCACAGTCACTGTGTCAACCCATGCTGTTGGGGCTTTCCTCTCTCAATCTCACCCACCACCTTTCCCAGTATGACGTCTTGTTTCCGAGCACTGGCTCCTCTTGGAAACACACACACTTTGATTTTCCCAAAGCAACACATCCTTGGACTTCTTGACTACTATTTTAGGTGTTGATTGTGGATTCAAGTAAAATGAAATCATTGATAGCTTCATTCTTTTCTCCAGCTACCACAACAGTGGCTAGTGCTTCAGGGATGAGTTTTGTTTTCTTGGTAGTGAGATGTGATTCATACTGAAGGAAATGAGACCTTTTGTGATGAGACCTTTTGCAGCAAATGTTTCAAGTTCTCGTCTTCACCTTCTGCAAGCAAGGTTGTGTAATTTGCTTAGTGCAGGTTGTTGATGAGTCTTTCTCCACATCGTAATTCTGTATCTTCTTCAGAGAGTCCACTTTCTCAAATGATTTGCTCAGCATACAGACTACAGACTGAATAGGTATGGGAAAAGGACAGAAGGCTGACACATACACTTTCCCTGATTTGAAATCATGCAGTGTTTCCTTGTTCTGTTTGGACAGCTTCTTGGTCTATGGATAGGTTTTGCAGGGACAGGCAATGGTGATGATATAATGGGTGCTAAACCAGATTTAGGCACAAGCTATATATAAGAGGCCTGTCACTGAGGCTTATCTCTCAACCTTGTTGTATTCAGTTTCCTAATTTATAATTGTGAGATTGATATGAAAACTAGTATGACAACATTCCAACAAATTAAAAAAAACATACAACCCAAAATGCTATGACAACCAGATTATGTGGGAAGTCAAAGTAAATTCACTCAAAATGAAGCAATGGTGGGAATAATATGAGAAAAACCAATTTATTCTATTTATGGCATTAATTTTGTCTGCTTTTTTTCCCTCAGGAAGGGAAAACTGATAAATAAGTGATTTTTATCTGAAAAAACAGTGCAGTAAAAGCCAAATAGAACAGATTTTAATGAAATAAAAACCTCAGAAGAACTTGGTATACATGTTACTGAGCAATAGCTGTTATCAATTATAGTCTGATTGGACCCTCGTTCTGGGCTCCAATTGCACTCCTGCCTACAGCATCCCATTAGTGGGCTGTTTAATGCCGGCATTCTCATTATACTCACAGGTCCATGGGGTCTTACCTGGAGTTAAACCTCTTATTGCTTGGTAAGTAATAAACTTTCTAGAAAATAAAGTATTTACAGCTCAGTTATGTTATTTACTTCTATTTCCAACCAGGCACAGATCGAGTTTCCTTTCAGATTCACTGAATTAAAAGTAACACTGTCTGAAAATGAACTGGGACACTGCCTGAGAGGTGTTTCAAACTGATTCCAAACAACATACCTTGTCCTGCGTTTGGCAGCGAATACAGTCACATTCAAAACAGTACTGGTCCCTCAGCTGCTTCCTGCGCTCTTCACTTGTCATCAGCATGTCCAGGTAGCAGATGGTGAGCTGTGGAGGCCAAAAGGGAAGAGTCACATGGCTGCTAGGTTCATTTTTTTTAACTTACAGGCTGCCAACCCAAAGGTGGGCAGTTCAAATCCACTAGGGGCTCTGTGGGAGAAAGACAGGCAATTTCCTCCTACTCTGAAAACGTCCTGAAAAGTCAGCTATGAGTCTTGACAGCAGTAAGAGAATTATGAAAGTAATTGTTGTTGTCAGACACTCCAGTGGCTATTTCCTCCTCCTTCTGAGAAAATGATCGCCTATCTTTCTCTCACAGAGCCGCTGGTGGATTTGAACCACTTACCTTTGTGTTGGCAGTGCAATTGCATACAACTTGACACATTTCAATTAACAGATGCAGCCTGGGTGTGTTCACCAGTTTATGCCTGAAATTCAAAGGAGAGTTGCCTGGCCAATTGACTGGAAGAAATCAATATTTGTTCCCATTCCCAAGAGAATGTGAAAATAATGGAACAATATCATTAAGATTATATACAAGCAAAATATTGATGGGGAAAAAAATCCCACAACTTCTAGAACAGTACATAGAGACGGAACTTACAGAAGTTCAGGCAGGATTTAGAATGTGGTACCAGGGATATCACTGCTGATGTGAGATGGATTTTGGCTGAAAGTAAAGAAGACCAGAAGAATGTCTACTTGTGCTTTATTGACTATGCA